TGCTGTCACAGTGATGCTCCGCTGTGCCACTGCCTCCTGTCCATAACATTCTTGGAGCACTCTGATTGGTTACTGAAACAACCAATCAGAGTGCTCCAAGAGCATTATGGACTGACAGACAGACAGACAAGGCCCTTTATTATATTAGAATTAGAACGATGATTTAGCATAACCTAGCACAGAGAATGAAATCAATTGGGATTGCTCTATTGTGCATGGTCCCAACCTTGCATTTTTGTGCAAGATGTACTGTTATTTCAGTTTGGTCATACAGATTGTATGTGTAGGTCCAGTCAAGATGTCACTTCAGTCATCAGCCACCACTGAAAATAGTCTAGCTGCATCCTCTTTGGAACCACTCTGGAGGTAGCTGAAGTCTATTAAAGTGCTATTAAATCCCCTCTCAGTCTTGTTTTCTCTAGACTAAATACACCTAGTTCTCTCAGTCTCTTCTCATAAGTCATGTGTCCTAGCTCCCTAACCATTTTCACTGCCCTCTGCTGGACTCTCTCCAATTTGTCCACATCCTTTCTGTAGTGGGGAGCCCAAAACTGAACACAATACTCCACATGCGGCCTCACCAATGCCGAACAGGAGGGAAGAATCACTTCCCTCAATCTGCTGGCAACACTCCTAGTAATGCAGACCAGTAAGCCGTTAACTTTCTTTGTAACAAGGGCACACTGCTGGCTCATATTCAGTTTACTGTCCACTGTAACCCCAGGTCCTTTTCTGCAGAGCTACTGCTTAGCCAGTTGGTTCACAGCCTGTTCCGTCCTAAGTGCAAAACTTTGTACTTGTCCTTACTGAACCTCATGAGATTTCTTCTAGTCCAATCCTCCAATTTGTCAAGGTTTCTTTGAATTCTAGCCCTACACTCCATTACATGTACTACCACAGCTTGGTGTCATCTGCAAACTCCCTGAGGGCACACTCCCTCCCCTCTTCCAGGTTGTTGATGAAGATATTGAACAAAACTGACCACAAGACCAACCTCTGGGGCACCCCACTTGATACCAGCTACTAACTAGACATCGAGGCATTGATTACTACACTCGGAGCCCAATGATCTAGCCAGTTTTCTATCCATCTTACAGTCCATTCATCCAATCCGTATTTCCTTAGCTTGCCTGTGAGAATGTTGTGGGAAACTGTATCAAAAGCCTTGCTAAAGTCAAGGTATATCACATTCACCGCTCTTCCTGCATCCACAGAGCCAGTCATGTCATCACAGAAGGCAATCAGGTTGGTTAGGCATGACTTGCCCTTGGTGAATCCATGCTGACTGTTCCGAATTACCTTTTTCTCCTCCAAGTGCTTAGAAATGGATATCTTGAGGACCCGCTCCATGATTTTTCCAGGGACTGAGGTGAGGCTGACTGGTCTGTACTTCCCTGGATCCTCCTTCTTAAAGATTTCCCCTTTTCCGGCAACAACTGGGAAGATTTGTTTTTGGTTTGTTTTTAAAGTTAGACATGGTTGCAAAACCCACAGAAATTAGTAGGAAGTCTCAAAGGCAGATGTATTACCTAAAACTTTTAAGTGGAAAAAAATATCCCCATGTAAACAAACATGGAAAATAGTTTTCATGCAATTAAACCAAATACAAGGGAAGGAATTAACATAACTATTTAAAACTTTCTCCATCAAGTTAGAGGACAAAGTGGTATAAGTGCTCTAAGCTTCAGGACATGACAGAGTTCTTAATGGGCATTTTGCTTACCCTCCTTCACTTTCAGCATCATCTGTATTGATTGCTCCCGAACTGGCTGTGAAATAAATAGAACTGGAGCCTGTAGAATCACTCCTTTCTCTAGAAAAAACATATCGCTTCCTCCGAGTTACTTTCTGGGCTTCCTCCAGATGGGACCTATAAGAAAGGCAGAAAAATTAAGAGCGATGATGATGGGAGTGTCCATTATTTTATTTCACGTCTTCGTCTCCCTGCTATGCTGTTTTACATCCACTCCACACAAAAATAACTATCATTCAGGTCCTGAAGTTCTTCTGTTTGTTACTCCAGTCACACAAAGTGGCACAGTTTACAATACCATGTGCTTCACTATGATAAAAAAAACAACAACCTGCACACCAGGAGATTTGATAGACATTTCTTCTGCCTTGTAGTTGAAAGAAGATAAGGGGATGCTGAAACATTTAGAAGTGGAAAAGCATATTCCATTCACAGTTGAAAATCCTCTCTACTCAAGGCAACAGAAAACAACTGACAGGAAAAAAAAAAGAGCTAAAAATGTATAGACTAATTGAATCCATCTAACTGAGCATTTTGCTAAAACAAGCACCAATACTAAATACTCCAACTTCAAGTTAAGTTATAAAGTTAACCTCTAAATTGGAGTGGTTTTGCTATATTTACATCATTCCCAGCTTGCCCATAGTAACAGTTAGAATGTGACAGCTGCTGCCCTTTTGTAACTGCTCCAAATGTATGTGCCCAAACCCATATTTAAACGGACACTGCTTACAGATTTGTCCTTATTACAATGATACTCATTACAAGATACTTCCTGTATTACATGATACTTCCTGTAGTTTTAAATACTTTAAATTTAAATACAGTCATTTTTTTAAATTTAGTGCTAGAAACCTGCAGTATTAACAGACTTCCAAATAAATGTGTAGTTCCCTGCAAGGGTGGTGAGGCATGGATTTAAAAACCCATTTTAATTTGTAATGCTATGCAGTTTCCTGCCATTTCACCTCATGGGCTGTTTCTTGGCTCTGTAGTTCCAATAGATGCACCCCTGAGCTGGAGACCAAAAGCTTCACTGCTCCATACAGTAGAGACAGAGGTCTAAAAAAACCTGAAGTGGGCAAAAGTCTCTAAGGGTTTCTGTGCTCCAGGGGTGCAGACCAGAGAGATCCCTAGTGGCAATCTGAGATACCTGGCCATCATGGCACCTCTTCACGTAAGCTGAGCCTGCCACAACTGTAAGAGCAGATGACCCTGTATAATACCCATAAATATAAAAAAAAAGTCTGATCCTCTCTTTTGTTATCTCCAGTCTCAGCTTTTTCCCTTCCTTATCTAACTAAACCTTATTAGATGTCCAACTAACTTAATTTTTTGAGAGGACTGAGCAAAGTACCTGTTGAGTAACTCTGCCCTCTTTGCATTTTCTGCTAGGAGTTTCCCCTAGCTTGCTAATAGTAAATGCACAGCTTCCTTGGTCTTTTTTTTCTGGCCAAAATACATATAGAACCTCTTCTTGTTGACTTTAACCTCCTTCGCCAGGTGCAGCTCTTTCTTTATCTTTGCTTTCCTGATTTTGTCCCACCCAATCCTTGCTGTTTCCTAACATACTTCCTTGGTGACCAGACAATTTTTTCATTGCCTGTATGCTTTTCTTTTGCATTTGAGGCATTTTAGAAGCTCCTTGTGTAGCCACATTAGCCTCTTACTATTCTTCTTGTGCTTCTATTATCTCAAGACAATTTCTTGTTTGGTTTACAGATGCCAGTCTGGGCTTAGACTGTTCCCCTGGACTCTTGGCCCTGAGCTATGGCACAGCACCCTAAAGACTTATGCACTCAATTACTGAATGCAGAATCCAACTTGCCCATGAAAATCATGGAATTGGTGACAGGCAAACAGTTCAGACAGATATTGCCAGTGGGCACATAGAAGTGGGACTTTGATATTGTGTTCTACACCCCAAGGAAGCAGTCTGTCTCATTGAGGACTTTTTGGACATGGAATTAAGAGAACGAGAAGTCTCCAGCCAGGCCAAAGGGATAGGTCCAACAAAGTCTGAGTACAAAGCAAAAAAAGCTAGGCATAGCTCATGAGCTGCTAAGTGGAGGTCATGCACTTGGGCCTAGGAGTTCTTCTGCACTCCCTGAAATGACACGGACAGACACAGCAGCCTTAGGCTCTGGAGTTCAGCTGATCAGCACTAAGAGGTGGAATGATCCAGGGAAAGGGAAGCCTTTGGTTTGCTTTTCATGTGGTCAGCCCTGTTACTGGCACTGAGATTGATTCCTTAAAATATATTCAAGCAGATGACCCTATGCTTGTTGGCCTTTACATGCATCTCAGAGTTATCTGCTCTGTACATTAACACTGCATTGTCCTAATTATAGATCAACTTTAAGTATAAGCCAACTGTGATTTTTATAGTTGTCTCAAAATAATGTTGACGTATAATCCAAACAATAAGGTAGTGTTCCACCAATCTTTTGAATAAATGTATACAGTGAAATTCTGTCTCATAAATTAAAAAGGAGTTTTGCTATTAGGAGCTAGAATTTTATGCATGGAAATAAACAACCTGTGGAAAATAAATATTTAAACGTATTGGTTCCACACTTCCTCAAGCTTTTAATTTCACTAATCCTACCCTTGTTCTTGTATTACAAGCAGAATAAAAAGGATGAAAGTGTTCAGTTTTCCGATTATAATTTTGCTGACATCAAGCAACCCCTCTCTCAAGCTCTTTTCTTTCTAATTTAAATAACCTTAGCCCTTACACTAAAACAAGAGAAGGTATCCCTGCATGTGCGTGCTGATGGTCTGGACAGTGGACTCTAGCACACAACTCAGGTTTAACTTCACTTGGCTGGTAATGCCTCCTCTTCCTCTCAAACCCAAAATTTTACAAAATAGCAGCTTGTATTCCTCCTCTATTTTCTAGAGCACTGCCATACTAAAGGGTAGACATGAGAATTTGGCCTAGGTTTTAATTTATAAAAATGCATAGCTTGATCCCTCTATTAGAGAAAATAGAAAAGATAAGATTATTCCACCTATGACTCCTCACCTTCAAACTCTTTCAAGGCAGAGAGAGAAGAGGTTTTCCAACCATTTTTGCTGAGAGAAGTAGGCATTGTACTTACTTGACTTCTCCAACAATCTCACTAGCTAAACCCTGAAGGCTGTTTCGCAGTTCCTCCACTTCTTGACGCAGCTCTTCAATGTTTTTCAGCACAAAGTCTAGACGGCTCAGCACTTCCACCTGCTCTATACGTGTTAAGAGAGATGTGCATGCGACACCATCACCAGCCTCCACTGGGGCTTGTGTCCTAATCAGAACTAAAAAATAGGAGAAAGAAATTTAATTAATGGTGATAGAGTGACAAGGCTTAGAAAAAGGAAATGCCATTAGAACATACTTGTTTCTGGAAACTTCTGGAAAGGGAAATAAAATAATATAAAAGTATACTGCTCCAATAGTCATTACAGTTTGAGGAGGATGAGTCCTGTTTTTAAAACACACAGTTCTCCCTGCTTTGCTTTAATTTTTTAAAGTGGAAAACTTTAAAAATTACACCAGCACCAAAACTATTCGTACATGTAATAAAACTAATATGCATAATTCCACCGTCTCATACTTAACATCCATACTCCACTTCACTTCTAAAATATAACCAACTCAGGAGTGGAAATACCAGCAAGAAAAACTAATACCCCATCAAAATAATACAGAATGGTGGTGCGAAGTAATTCTGTTCAAGGACAAAAAAAAAAAATCTCTATTCTTGCAAAAAGTGATACAGGATTCTATTCTAATATAATAAAGGGCTTAGTCTGTCTATTCATCCAAAAAGCTTTTGGAGCACTCTGGTTACTGAAACAAGCAATCAGAGTGCTCCAAGAGCGTTACAGACAGGAGGTGGCAGCGGTGGCGTGCTGCCATGATGGCAGGGATGGGGGTGGGGAGGAGAGAATATGGATGGAGCAGGAAGACAACAGCCAATGACCGTTTTTTTGTTTTTGTTATTCAGAATTCATCTGTCATTCTTGATGGGCAATTCATTAGTATTTTAATATCAGTTTATTAAATTAAGAAATTGCCAAGAGCTGCATGTTTATGACCTAGGTTAGCTTGCCTGTTGGATGGTGTACTTTTTTAGAGTCGCAGCATAGACAACAAAAAAAGAGTACGTACTGCCTACATGCCATAGACTTAAAATTATCTGAGTTTTCTTAAAAGTCAGTAGTAAATATTGACTTAAGAAAAACACAAATAATCACTGCTTCAATTAATAATAATTTTTGCAAGAAAAAGGCCTTGAGTTTCTCTTTAAAAAAA